ATGAACAAATATTAAGATAGATCATTTCCAGTTTGGAATTATATGATAAACAGTAAGGCAGGGAATCTAAAACTTTTCAGATAGTAAAGCTCAATTAAATATTCAAACCACACTACTTCAACAGCATGAAGTGGGGACTGAATTCTCCAGACAATGTTTAATATTATTATTATTGTTGATTTAATTAACCTCATATTATTGTCAATTATACTTTTGAGGTAGTTTTTTTTTTGTTTTTTTTTTTTTTTTATTGATTTCAGAGAGGAAGGGATAGGAAGAGATATAGAAACATCAACAATGAGATATAATCATTGTTGCTATCTCCTGCGTGTGCCATACCAGGGATTGAGCCTGCAACCTGGGCATAAGTCCTGACTGAGAATCAACTAGAGACTTCTTGGTTCATAGGTTGACACTCAACCATTGAGCCACACCAGCGAGGCTGAGGTAGCTTTTTTTGATTATGCCATAAAAAGCATATTCATGTCATTACTAATCATGTCATAAAAAATGTCTTAAGAATGTACACTATGTGCCAAATAGTACCAAATTTACGCACTACAAAAGCTACACTGACAAAATAGTATGATTCTCAAGTGAAACGAAAAGTTTCAAATGAAGGCTGAAATACCTGCATAAGACGGTGATCAAAATACATGCCTCTAGGACTAACGCTGACATTCAGATATGCCAAAGATATCAGTCTTGATATTGTTCTCTGTTATGCTAACATATATTAGTACAGAGAGAGATAGGCTTTGATATAAAACTGCCAATTAAGACAGTGTATTAAATTTAAATTCCATATAAATAAGGCCATCAAATGCTTAAATGCACATATAATTAAAATTTTTCTTTTAAACTAAAGTTTCATTCAGTTCACAAACTTACTGATAATAATTTCATGTTACAAACAGCACAGCACCCTCTGGTGCATCTGCTATAATACGTATAAAATTCCCACCAAAAAAAAAAAAAAAAAAAAAAAGGATAAAATCTGAGTAAAAATGAACCTTAGAAATCAATAAAAAGATACTCATATACTCCAGTACCTATTTTTAAACATAATGCTTAACAACAATTTTCATTTAAAAAGAGCACTAAAAAGTTTATAGTAAAAACTGAAGTAGGTGAGGAAAATGTTTTAGTTAGAAAATAATGCAGCAACAAAAACAGCACTGGTTTCCAACATTTAACATTCAAACTAAAATAATGCTATCCAAAAAAATGCTTTATGAACGGGATGGCAAAAGTTAACTTGTCATTTTAACCAGATTTTACTTTATTCAAATCTGCCTTAGCTTCTTGCTTAAGATAAATTTGACTTATTGTATAAAGGGTTCCTGAGTATTTTTTCTGGATCCAAAGGGAATTTTCCATTACAAGGTAAGAATTTTTAAGTGTTCTGTTAAAGAATCTGCAACTTACACAGACTGAAAACAGAATAATATTCAGAAATAAAAGTTGTTAAATTATAAACCTGAATCTAAATAGTTCAAAACTTTTATTTAAAACGCACACACACAACTTTTCCTAGGAAAATAACTCCAAAAGTGTATTTTACTAAGAACAAAAGCAAAAGATGCCACCTGCTTTAGACAATTCTTTTGTGAACCACTGGAAGTCTCAACACAATGCACTAGAAATGAAAGTGACACCTGTTTAAACCAGCCATCTGGCCCTAACAAGCTAGAATTAGTCAAATCCACTTAATCTTGGACTTCCAAAATATGGGAACACTATGCACCTGTGAACAGAAAGGAATTTAAATCTGGTTTATAATGGCCAGTGGAAATTTATACCCAAGAGTTGAAGGCAAATGGTTACATTGGGGAAATTATTTTTAAAGTAACTGAAAGTAGATTTTTAGGCTAGTGTTCAACATAAAAACAAAAAAATAAACAATAACAAAAACAGACAGACTCTTCATAATTTAAAGGTTTACTTGGCATTCTCATTTCTTACAGCAAAGTCTCACTATACTACCAAGAACAAAGTAACATTCCTATTAGACCGTTCAGAACAGTTTGGGGTTTTTTTCTACTTCTTCCCATACATCTGATTCTATATCCACCCTTTTAAACTCACACATACACATACTCTTCATAACATCTGAAAAGCAAAATCATATTCCACCTACTTACTGGTTTTTCAGTTGGAAATTAGAGGAAAGCTCACACAAAATCAACTTTCTCAAGAATAAAATGTTACCAAAAAGTAACATGTCATTTAAATAATACATTATATCAATCTTGATTTATGATTCATTCATTTTAATTGTTAATTTTTAATGATAAAAACTATCATATTAACTTTAGGGTAAAAAGTATTTTTTCTTTAGGGTTAAAATATATAAAACTTATAAACTATAAAACTTTTATTTGAGTACTTATGTAGAATATAAGAAGATTTGAATACTAGAGTAATACTGTTTTTTTTACATTAGGCATAACTATTCCATATAATGAAAAAATTATGGAATTATGAATTTTAGTAATGTGCTTGAGTTTACTATATTATACATGTAAATGTACTACTAAAATGTCTATATTGATTAATGCAACTCATTGTCAAAACAACCTAAAAAGATTGAATAATGTTGACATGCTTGAGCCCAAAGAATCTCTAAAAGCAAGTTTTGTATCACATAAGTGTTTTCAAAAATAGATGATAGAATTCAAGTTAAGCCCTGCTCTTAAATCAACTGATGAGTGGAAATCTAAATTACTGAACCTGAGATAATTTTAAGAAGTAAAATGCCTCAAAAAAAAAGTTCTTGGACATTGCAAATAAAAATATTAAATCATAACATTGTAACATATAATCTACTCAGCTGAAAACCTATTATGTAAATAGCATAAGGTCTGAAGCTGTCTCTAGACAGCAAAACTATTAACTTCAGAGAGTTTATGGGACCCAGAAGCTTCACCATCCAAAAGTGTTCAAGCATTTGACACTCATCTGAACAGAAAAAAAAAAAAAAAAAAAAAAAATACAAGTTAGTATTAGACTTGCATGGAATCTAGATTGGGGAAGAGGTATGTGTAAATAAATATAAAGGAATTTGAATGCTCTGAGAAAGACTTTGGAACAAAGTATCATCTTCATTTAAAATACCAATCCCATGGAAATGAATTGAAAGGGGAAAAGTTTTTGTTTTTTTAAAACACACTCTTATTTTACAAAGTATTAGCCTTAACAGCATTACAGTTACTCAACCTGCTCATTGACAATCTCAAGAATCATTAAAACTGTCACATTATTCAGAGGCTGCTCTGTCAGGTAAATCAATATATGTTTACTGTTAGGAAGAAGACTATTTAAATAAACATTTTAAAATTCCAGACTGAAAATTTCAATATGTGCAAATATATTTGTTTTAGCATACGTTCATTATCAAAACTTTTTACTAATATGTTAATTAAACGTTAGGCTGAAAAATGAACAAATTTACAGGATCTGGAAAACAGTTCCCTCCAACCAAGAGCCCTACTATTTGAGGACTGATAAGTATTCATATCTACTGAGAGAAATAGATTATTTTTAGAGTCTTAAAAAGGGGAAAGTTCTCTCCCCTCACCAGATTTAAGTCACTGTCCAAAGAAAGCCAAAATAATGACTATGTTAAGTAGTGCACACATGCCCAGCTCTGGACAACCATAAAGAAAGTGAAATATACACACGTTTCAAGTTGAGACGCTTCATACATTCTTTATGAACAACTTGACTTCAATTTCAACTCTCAAAGAAATACGAACAGACAAGATGAAGAGGGGGGAGAAACCTCTTTAAAGTACCTTAACTGTCATAAATAACATTGTAACCCGAGTTCTCACAAAGCTTCCTCATGTCCTTTCCCTGTTTATCCTACAAAGTCTTGCAACCACAATGAAAACTGTTAACACTCCACGGTGGAGAAGCAGGCTCATCAAAGTGAAATGGAACCTCACTACCACCCCTCCCATCTCCACATGAAGGATAAAGCACTGTCAATAACTACTAACCCAAGTATCACAGATGCCCTGCATCCGGTTTAAATCACAAGCACACGCACACACACACACACACACACACACACACACACACACACACCAAGGAAGAGAGAAAGAGATGGGAGAGAGACTTTTTCAAAATTTCTTCCCCAGTGCTGCAAAGTCCAGCGAAGAGGCTCCAGGTTTCAATGTGTGCAAGGGTTGTGGGGGGAAAGGAGGCGGGGGAGGGAACAGTGCTGAATGGATATTAGGACTGTTTGCAGCACAAAGAAAACACAGTTTTAAAAGAAAAAAAAGAGAAAAAAGAACACCGTGTAGTGGATGATGGCAAAAGAAGGGCAGCCCATTCAGCACAAGGAGAAGAGGAGCAAAAAAATGAAGGGAATGGGCGGTGGGAAAAGTTCACCGTTGTACAAGGATAAAAATAACAAAAACCTTAACAAGGCCCCACAAGTGAACAACAACAACAACAAAACACCAGCTCTTGGGTCCCCCTTGCACATTGTTGTCTACTTCGGTTTTGAAAAAAAAAAAAAAAGCAGGAAACAAGCAGCTTCAAAAAAAGAAAATTAAAGAGAAAAGAAAAGCCCTTCTCTCTTCACCTGACTCTCCTCCTCAGAAAAGACCTAGGGCAGAGCTCCACCATCCGCAACGCGAAACTGGGGCTCCCTCTCCCGCTCGGCTGGCAGCCCCCCGAGCTCCCGCTCCATCCCTGACGCGCGGCGGGCGCCGAGGGCCGGCCGGGCAGGCGGGCGGGCGGGCGGACGGAGGACCGGCGGGCGCGGAGCCCACACCCCCGGCCCCGCCGCGGCGCGCACGGTCCATTGTAAACAAGCCCGGGGGACCGAGCCCCTCGGCGGCGGCGCCGCAGCGCAGTCCCCGGTGTCAGGAGTGAGACCCCGCACAGCCACAGCCGGCTCGCACACACGGACACACACACGCACGGACATCCGCATTCACACGCATCCACACGCTCCCACACACATGTAGAGACCGAAGAATATTCACCTTGGCTGTGGATTATTGTGGTGTTGTTGGTGGGTGATGGAGATGGTGGTGGTGGGGAGGAGGAGGAGGAAGAGGAGGAGGAGGAGGAGGAGGAGGAGGAGGAGGAGGAGGAGGAGGAGAGGAGTAGTTGTTGTTGATGGGTAACAGTCGCCAGGACTACGGTGACTATGGCGCTTGATTCACAAGGCAACGGTTGCTATAACTCACAAAAGAGAGAGAGGGAGAGAGCGAAAGGGAGAGGGAGACACTCGCACGGGGAGGGGTAGGGGAGGGGAGAGGGGAGGAGGCGGGCCGGCAGGCCGCCGGAAGGGGCGGGCGCAGCGCCGTGACTGACAGCCCCGCGTCCGGGCCGGGGGCCGCGAGGCGAGGGCTCTGTGGGTTCGGGGTGAGAGCCCGGAGGCTTGCCGCGGCCGGAGGCCCCCGAGGGCCCCGGAGGCTCGCCACTACCCGCGGCCAGGCTGCCCCGGGAGCTCAGGGGCGTGGCGCTAGGGACACGGTGGTGATGCCAGAGGTGCCGGTCCGCCAGCTTCGGGCTAGGAAGCCCCAAAGTCGCGAGGCTGAGGGGGAAGCCGCGGGAAGGGGTGTTGAGGGCAACGCCACACACTTTCTCGGGAGACCAGCAACGCTGGAGGGAGAACCCATTTTGAAGAGCGGCCGCCTCCACGACTCCCAACTCAGCCGCCTAAGACGTCATTTCCGGGGTGGAGGGGGCGGAGGTCCCGGATGTGCCCCCGCTATTTCTCCCCCCGACGCAGCCTCATATTCCCCCCCTCCCCGCCCCCCGCTTTTTTTCCCTTCGTTTCGGAGCCTTCGGCGTGTTCCTGGTGTGTGGCACGCCTGGGCGCCGCGGGGCCCCGAGCCCTCGCTGCACTGGAGGCCCAGCCCGTCCTCGCCCTCGTCTGCGCGCCCGGTCGCCCCCGCCTCCCGAGGCCGCGGCTCCGAGCCCCGCGTGCGGAGAGGCGAGAGCGCGCACCCCGCCGCCATCTTAGGGCCGCGGTGCGGGCGGTGCGGGGCGCGCGGTCTCCCGGTCCCGCCGCGGCGGCGCGCAGCGGGGAGGTCGGGGGGCCGCCGCTCCGCTGCCCACGGGCGGGATCAAGGCTCGTGAGGAGCAGACTGCCCGCCCTGAGAGGCGGCCAAAGGCGCGGCAGCCACTCCGCCCGAGGCGCTGAGGGCGGTGCCCTGCACCTGTCCAAGGTGCACCCAGGTAGCCCCAGTTCCCCGTTATCTCCAGCTCTTCACGAAAGAGCCCGCCCCTCTTTAAAATGGGCCCATCGGGGATTTGAGCTGCACCGATTACATGACAAGCCGCTGAGTTGAGCTACACGAACGGCCTCCCTTCGGGCTGGGTGTTGGTACCGCCCCGGGAGCGGGCTGGAGCGCCCTGGGCGCAGCCCCGGACACCGCGGGGCGCGGACGCGGGGCAGCCTCTGCGGAGGGAGCCTGCGGGCTGGAGCTCCAGCCCGTGCGCTAAGCGGCTTATCCCGGACAATACCTTTAGAAGGGAACCTTAGGGCGTCGGTTTTACTCCGGAGGCTTAATTTTTTTGCACCTGTCAAATTGGGATTTGGGCCGACATAAAGTCACGGTATTAACATAATTGCGACTGTTACTGAGATCTTACCCTGCCCCAGACATTGAGCTTAGTGCTTTACATACATTATCTCATTTAATCCTCACAGCATCACTATGAGGTACATACATAATATTTTAGGGGAAACAGGCACAAAGTCTTAAAAAGTCAGTGGTTCTAATTTACATAATATTCCGTGACATGGAATATTACATAGGGATATTTTGGAATCCAGTATTTAAACAAATTGTTTAAGAAAAATATGTTGTTGCCTTTGGTAATCGCATAATGAAGTACAGAGGTTCTTACAATAATGTAAGGCAATGTAATAGCAGAGGTGAGCGCCCCATAGCAGTAGGCCCCTATCGTCTGAGACAGATGACATTGTGGTGACCAGCAGCAGTTAAACTCTTCGTATTGTGAATAATTTCGATATACACATGGGAAATAAGGCATGCATCCCAGCTGTATAAAAAGTGGTAGTCATTATGAATATTCACTTTGTTACATTTACAGGTAAATGTTCCCGTGGTGGTCTCTGGAGCTGTTTGCTCACACTACAGGGCTCTGAATAGCTTTGCTTTTTTAGTTCTATTGTCTGTTGTAGTTTGCCTGTCCCTTCCCACACTGTCAGCTGTTGCTTCTTACCGCTGTCAGTGAACATAGTTCTATTAACCTCTCCACCCTTTTAATTTACTGCTTTTAATCTGTAGGCAAGAAAACCACATAATGAATCTTATGTAAAACTGTCTCAAGAGTATAAATAGGTACTTTGAGGAAATCTCCTTTACAAAAATGTGTGACTTTTGTGCAAGGACCTTGTAACATCAGTTGTAAGCAGCTTAAGAGACTTTTTTTTTTTTTTTTAAATCTACTTCCTGATTTGGCTCATTCTTGAGTTAGGAATAGGTAAGTTTCCTAAAGTGAGTTCTTTAAAAGTTAGGATTTAAAACATTTTCCCTAGTTTTAGGATACTTAATTATATTACTTCTAACCAGAATAAGGGTAATTTTCATATTATCACCACACTGAATCAAGTAACCAATCTGCCAATTCAAGCTATAGATTGAGGAACATGCTAGATTACACACTGAGTGACCAGATGATGATCTCTGAATGCATAATAATCTGGCCATTCAGTGTATATCCTCCTATATAATAAAAGGCTAATATACAAATTGTCCCCTGGACCAGGAGTTCCACCAGTAGGCTGGCCATCAGCCCCCTGGAAAGGCTGGCCTGACCCCACCCATGCACGAATTCATGCATCGGCCTCTAGTAGAGATCATGATAATCTGGTCACTCAGTGTATATGCATGTACTGTTTGTGTGCTATAACTGGTTATGAAAAACCTAGAAATCCTTTTGCCTAAAGTCAGTTCAGAAAGAATCTCCTTTCTGATCATTTTAAAGCTGTACAATTGCATCTTTACATATGTTGAACATATATTTCAGAAATATATTACTTAAGAAGCCACGAGAGGGGGGGAAAAAAAACTAGTAGTGTCTAACATTTAGTACCTGTTACACATCACATATTGGGCTCAATAAGAGAAGGTTCCTGATTTAAAAAATAAATAAATAAATAATATTACATTCAATATACTGACAATGCAATAAATAGTTGCTGAGTACTTAAAATGGGACAGGTAGAGTTGCTGTCTGCAAAATGCTCAAAGTCAATGAATATGAATTTTAAAATGTTGTGTCCTTTGAACTTGGATTGTTTTTGCTTTCACCTTGGAATGGTTGGTGGAGACATCAAGTGACACATTTGTAACTGAACCACTTGAAAAATTCCAAGCCCTGGTTATTTATGTATGGATTATATACTTTATAAAATTCTCTAGTACACTCTTAAGGGTAAATTTCCTTTTCAATATTATCTATTGAGTTACTTCCTCCTGTTAATATATGCTGCATGTTCAAGAAGTAAAGAATTATTTCAATGTTTCTTGAAGGAACAGCTGCATATTAAAAGATAAAACACTGATATGTGCTTGGTTTACCTCTGGAAAATTGTACATATGAGAGTTTTGAAAATTAATGTATTAGCCTGTGGCAGCTTACCATGGAATTTGTGGTGAATCCTTTTAAAAAGCAGAAATCACACCTGTTTAAAAATGTTCCATTTGATTTTGATACCTGGTTTCTTCAATTGAGAGACACCAAGACTCTTAGTTCTCATGTAAAATAAATGGTTTTATTTCAACCAATATTTATTGACTACTTACAATAATCAGAGCACTGGGGAATTAGACTACTGGATTATTAATTACTTTTACTAGATTGGAAATTCTGTGGCTATGTATACCAATAAATAATAGGGAGTGATAGATGCCAAGATAATTCAAAACCACACATAATTTGCCTGTCTAGAGCACCTCCAACTCTACTCATCCCCAGTGAAAATATATTTTGGTTTTGAAAGCATTGCAATTTCTTTTCTGGTAGATTTATCCTAAACGTGTTTTCTTTAAGTATTATATTACAAACTGTTTACTCAGCAGTCCTGAGATATGTCCATCTTTATATATAACCTAGAATTATATTTTTACCCCAGCACAGAAAGATAATAGATTCATAAATTGGCTGTCTTTTCTCAAGATCAAATATATTTTGATATGCATACACAGCTTTTCCCCTCAGGGCAGAACATCAAATATAATATTTGTAGATTAAAAACAAATAACTGGAAACAACCCAAATGTATATCAGTAGGAGGATGGAAAAACAAATTGTTAGATATTCATACAATGGAATACTACCTAGCAGTTAAAAGGAACAAATGATACAAAGTCATGAATGAATCTCAAAAATGCCATAGTTAGCAAAAGAAACCAGGCACACAAAAAAATAACAACAAAAAAAAACATACAGTATGGTCCATTTATGTAAAGTTCAAACACAGGGAAACTTAATCTTTAGTTACTGTTTCTTTATGATGGCAGGGCCAGTGACATGGGATTTATTGTAAAGGAGCAGGAGGGAACTATCAATGATGGAAATGTTCTGCACTGTCCAACTTGGTAGCCACTAGCTGCATGTGGCTGTTAAATCTAATTGTAAATTCATTGGAATCAAATTTAAAATTGAGTCACAATAGCCACATTTTAAGTAGCCACATGTGGCTAGTGGCTACCAAATTGGACAGAAAATATACAACATTTCTATTATCACAGAAAAAGTGCTGGTTTAAATCTTGTTTTAAGTGCTGGTCTAAATATTGTTTAAGGTAATATTTATAAGTGTGTTTACAATTATCAAGTTAAATAGAATGCACATTATATATGCATTATATGTCAATAATACCTGCCCTCAAACTTCAGAAATCACTAATAAAAGTATCTATTATTGTATTACTTCCCTAATTAACTTTTTCTTAATATTTTCATTCAACACTATAGAGAAAAGGGTAAATAATAGGTACTAAAGTTATCCTTGGTAAATTTTCAACCATCTGTTAAGCATGACCATATAGTAGGTGATGTTGAATTGCTGCTCAAAGAAATGAGTCCTGCCACTTTTAATCCTGAGTAAGCCTAGAAACCAAAGGAATTGCTTTTGAGGGCTTAAAATGAACTCTGGATGATTAAAGACATTTTTTCCTGTTTTTCTATTAGGATAGCAATAGCTTAAACATGGTGGAGATTATATAACTTTTTTTATGAGGTAACTTTAGGAGTATTTG